ATCAATTTGGCGATTACACTGAAAGCATTGTATAAGGAAGATAAAAAGATCGCCGCCATCTCGCCCTAACGAACGTCGGAAGACTTCCTAATTCAGACGACACACATCTTATCGCTTGATCGCATTTTCGCATGAGCGCTGGATTTTCAGATCCACGTACTGGAAGCGAAGAATCGCGGATGTTGCTAACTACTATGGACACGACCCAATACACTTTGGCTCAGCGGGCGCGCTTCAGTGGAACTATCGGGCCTCTTTCTAAGCGAGTCACAAGCAGCTGTAACCGTCGTGCGTGTTTGAGTCTCAAAATTGACACTAGCCCCGCGGCTCAGACCCACCCACCTCATTTGCGAGAGCGATGTTCCAGGAAGTTGAAGTATACGAAGACCAAGAAAGAGAGCATCGAGACTTCGCAATTCAAATCCTCTTGCAGCCAGACGAGAAGAATGTCGCAATTCGACATTCTTCTCGTCTGGCTGCAAGAGGACCTAGGTAGACTCTAGAAACACAATTTTGTCTTTGGAGGCAATGCATGTCACAACACAGGAGAAATCGGAAACAAATGTCGGGAACGAGATGGGATGCTGTTGCGCTTGAACGTGACAGCAGAAATGCGAGCTGTTCCAGAAACGGGAAAAATTCATAACAAAAAAGGAAGAATTGATCAATCCAGCTCTTCTCAACAAAAGCGAAAGAGCCTTGTGTGCGCATGGGTGTCCGGTCGAGTTTTCCATTCATTTTCACATACAAGTAATTACACTGCTACCATCCTACTTACTATAAAGCGCTTCGTCTGTCGTCTGTCTGTCTGTCGTTCTGTATGTCTGTCACGAAATTCCCTAGCTCCTCGGGATCCGCCTGGAGGGACCGGGTCAAGTGTGGGATGGGTGGGCAAGGTCTCACGAAGTACAAAACACACATCAGCTAAGCGGAGCCCCGCCCACAGTGGGCGTGGCGTGCATCGAAATGAACTGTACTGAGACCAAGATTTCAAATTCAGTCACAAAACAGCCTCGAAACTGGGCCAAAAGTGGGTAAAGGTGTGCATTGGTAAGTCACATCGAATTAGGGAGACCCACCCCCGGTGGGCGGGGCGTTCTCCAAAAAAGCAGTGCTTTATGAAAAATTTCATAACTCGGTTGGGAGAAAGCCTACAGAGCAGAAAACAAATTGGTGTAGGGGAGCAATGTCTAAGGTGTTTCCCAGCATACATGACGTGGGCGGAGGCCCGCCCACAATGGGCGGAGCGCGCTCTGAAGTGTACAGCATTTTCTACAAGTCCTCATAATTCGGGCCGGGAAGTCTTAAGAGCCGGAAAAAGGTGGATAGAGGTGGGTGGAGGAGTGGAGGCCAGCTGTCATCGGTGGGCGGGGCTTGACCAAAGTGGGCGGAGTTTGCGACGAAAATTCATAACTCGGCTCCAAGAAGTCCCGGAGGCCGGGAAAAAGGTGGATAGAGGTGGGTGGAGGAGTGGAGGCCAGCTGTCATTGGTGGGCGGGGCTTGACCAAAGTGGGCGGAGTTTGCGACGAAAATTCATAACTCGGCTCCAAGAAGTCCCGGAGGCCGGGAAAAAGGTGGGTGGAGCCAGGGTCAACATTACATTGCGCAAAGATTAACGAGGGGGTCGCGTTTGGCCGAGCGAAAGGGGGGGGGTCGCATACAGAGGGACCAGGGGGTGAAAGGCTGGGAGGAATGGTCCCAAAAGAGCTGAAGTTACCATAAAACTCAAATAGTACCCTAAAATCCCATAGATAAGAGCGGTTTAATTTACCGGTGAAAAATGAATTGGAATGAAATTGAAATTGAATGCAGTCACCCCTCTAACTTGATGGATGGATAAATAAAAATCGGAGAAGAAGTTTAGAAGAAGCTCCGTCCCTCAACTCTAAACCCCGCCCACTTAATAAACAATTCATATAGAAAAATAGCGATTTTAACGGAATTTCTGCCGGAATCTCTCTAGAAATGCCGGAATTTGATCTCTGGATAGAACTTGAAGAGCCCATTCGATCAGTAAAATTCCATAGATAAGAGCGGTTTAATTTACCGGTAAAAAATGATTTTGAAAAAATATTTATTATTTTATTTTATTTTTGAAAAAATATCTATGGACCGCTCTTATCTATGGGATTTAGGGTAATCATATTTCAGGCTTGGCTGTTCGTACCGATCTCCCTGCATGAATTACTACATCGTGAAGCCTAGCACCAAAAAAAACAGCACACTTCTATTTAGACCTAGCTTAATTATGAAAAAAGGTGGTATAGGTGCCAAACTTAGCAAGTCACCAATTTCCAGCGTATCGATTGAAATTCAACTGTCTTGTTTTACGTTATAATTTGTTATAATTGTACCTTAGCTTTTATTGTTGACATATTACGTCGTGCAATAAGCGTTACAGTTGACACGGAAGATGAATAAAAGATTATAATCTTGCAATTGTACACAGTCCATTTGTTTGATATCATGGTGAAAATAAAGAAAAGGTGAGGAGTTATCGATCAAAAAAGGATTCGCTCCTGAGATAGTCTGCGATCAGGTGTAACTTCTGATTAGAGGGGAGGGGTGGAATAGTTTGTAGTCCAAGTCGCTCATAGATCTTGTTGAGATGCATGTGAGTATCTTCGATGTCCTCCCAGAATTTGAGGAGCTTGTCAAAATCTCTTTGCAGTCTCGCGATGAGTTTCTTGATCCACAGTGCCTATCTGCAACATGCAATCGTTCAAAATAAGAAAAAATCGAAAATAGTGAAACGCACCTTCATTCTTGCCTCCACTGTTGATTCAGAAATTCAAACGATTTTCAAATCATGCGCTAGGTTTGCGATCACTTTATATTCAGCTTGTTAAATGACGGCGTTATGCATCCACCTACAACGTCCTCGTCTTCATCAGACATTATTCCCTGAAAGCAGGTTTTATATACACACGTTTTTATATCCGAAAAATCATTGTTAAACAAAATGACCAGAGAAAACAACGTTAACCACAGATCCACAGATATGTGCTCAAAGGGAAGTGACCCAGATCAAAGAGTAATGTGACATATTGGGTGGAAAACGCTTCATTATTCATTACGTTTGTGCAGAGCACCAGCTTGAAAATAAATTAGGATTGAATGAGATGCACAGGAACACTGAAGTATAATCTCTTCAGGTGTATTCGTTTCGATCGCGCAACCAATGTTGCCATTTGGCGGAGTCACATATGGATAATGGAATATTCATAAGTCATTTAGTCGCATCACAAGAGAAAAAGAAAGGATATTTTTTATGTCGTCCATCATCATGAAAACGGATGGAGAATAGTTGAAGCATCATAGCTCGGTCGAATCATGAAGGAGACCAGATGAAAAAATCATTGATTTTGAAGTTTCCAGGTCCTCCCTTGAAGAGCGTATCTTTTCAGAGTCGCGTCTTTGATTCAGTGAATCTATGGTCATTGAATGTTTGACATGTAGTTGAACAAGTGCAGCTGCATCCTCTGAATCGAAAACGGCGTTTATGCTGCTGCATAATGTGGCAGAAAAATTACCTGATCTGATAGATTCTTTTACTTGTTTCATGAAGCTATCCGATCTATTCGAATGTCGGATGCCATGTGTTGTTA